AAATCCTAATCCGCTTTGAAAGTATCAAAAATCGAGAGTTTAGTGAAGTTTGACGAGTCTGCGTCTGGTATGGAACTTCTAAAATTCGACGGTGTTGTTCAAAATTCTGTCAAAAAGTTATGGGAAGCCCTGGGAAGGAGATTGAAACTGTTTTGTATCCTACTTTCTTTGCTCTATCCGCTGGTTACTTGGACTTCTTCGGGGGATCAGTATAAGAATTTAGAAAAATAGTGGATGACCTTGATAAAAAGCATGGGTCGCAGTTTATCGCAATTTTCTGATAGCACATTGTTTCAACTGCTTAATAAAGATGACCACTTGAAAGAGAATAAGAAACTGTATCGAATTCTACCAAGAGCTTCTGTTAACCTTTGTTCTGCGGATTGTGTCGCTTGTTTAAAAAAAGCGAAAATACCTTTGGGACGACCTAATATTTTCAGTTAAGAAGTTTTTGTTTCTCAATAATCATTGTCCTGGGCCCATTCTCGTTGCCTGGAGAGAAATTTTTCTCCGTAATCGCATCGTGTCTAAGATTCAATTTCCTGAAAATTACATCTTAAAGTGCATTGTGTAGAACGATCCCAGCAAACATTATACATGATTTCATAAAAATTCCGTTTTCTGCTTGTTCAAAAAGGAAGGGTTTCGCACTTGTTTTGTCATTGTCACTAGGTTGAAGACAAACCTACCAAAGAGAGCACACCAAAAAATTGAAAAAAAAAGGATTTTCGATAATTTAATCAGATGATATGGTTATGAAAAGTGGGTTTCACAATTGATGATACTAGCAGTTCAAAAGGGCAGAAGTTATGAAACAACCCAATACAGATTCGTTTCATTTCCAAAAATTACTACTCAGTTGAACCAATTTGAACCAAACCAAGCTGAACCACTCAATCAATTTCGCATCACTTTACCTAATGATAAGTGATAAACTAAACAAGCTTATACGGTTTCTGAATTTCTCTGAAGCAATGTTGGACGACCAGGGCCCGCCACGAGGTGGCTTTCGAAAGTGCAAAAAATTAAGTTCCCCTTGACTTTTTGCAGTTTTCAGTCCCCCAAACCCTAAACGTAAAAAAACATCCAAAAAAGGAACGTCGACAAAAAGTAACCGATGTTGCGTTTTTTCGGCCACAAAAACGATAGCCGCTTTGCTTTTTGTCCCAGAACGATATCCTGCTTGTTTATTAGCCACCTGTGCCGAGTATGTGGACGACTGTAGTTTGAGTAGATCCAAAATGTTTTAGAATTTCTGGAACAGTCCTTTAGTTATATTTTCCCTCTCATCATAAGATTCAAAAAATGTGTTAATGAAGATTAATGGAACAGAACTGGGTATCTATTTATAGGTGTGGTAAATTCACATTAAAGCCAAATGCGCTCCGAAATCCGTACCACATATTCTGTTCGAAAGTGCCGAATGGACGGAAAAGCTCATTTGTGTACTATCTATTTATGACTAGGAGACGCCAAACCGCATTGCGGACATTGTCTTAACACGTTTGAGTTTGTTCATTCCTGTTTCCAAAAAGTGAATAAACTTGGACGAGATAAATAACAAGTATAAACCTGCTAAGTACACGACTAGGCTTGTTTACACAACATGTGCAATGCGATCTCGCGTCTCCTAGTCATAAAATGAATGATAACTAATGTCTAATATTTTACAATCATTTTACTCTCGTATAACATTTTGCTAGTCATCAAAGACCTCCCTGTACACGTGCTAATCTTCACAAATTTTAACATTCACATCTGTGCAGGTGCGTTCAAAAAACTCTTTTGAAATTGAATGCCACTAAATCTCTAATCAATGCAGAGCAAAAAGTTCGTGCCTTTACTTTATAAAAAAAGTTCTTGTTGTTGACTATTGAAGATACATTAATCAATCTACATAATTGAAGTGAAATAATGGCTCAGATATTTGCGTGCTCAAGCATCTTTAACACGCCATAATAAATTAAATATCATACCATTTTTCCTTCTGAATTGCTATCTTTGACTCCATAACTCATATGTTTTTACATTTTTATCAAGAATATGAAACTTTATATAATACATTGTATGCATGCATTTTAGTTCTTGGACTCGATCAAAAAAAAAAACTGGGGCATTGACTCTCAGGCGAGTAGCAGGTTTTAGAACACTAGTTCGCACCTGACTTGTAATAATAAAATATTTTCTGTTTCAACAAGATATACCCCCTATTGCTATCTACTGCAGAAACTCTTGAAACTAAACAAGCTTCCAATAAGCGTTATTCTCTTGCAAAATTCATCTAACTTTCTTAGAATGTTAGAAAGGGAACTGCAGAGTTATGCGCTATAAACAGTGGGTTGCACGAGGTGTGATTCAAACAGATCCAGCGCGTCACACGGAAATTTGACACTGAAGTTGTCTCTAATCTGTTCTTGACCCATCACATATTGTTCAAATATTATGCTGTGGACGGGCAACATTAAGAGAGAAATTCTCCCACAAAATGGAAAGTATTGCAGCGACGATGAGTTCATCAGTGGCGTACGGGGGGGGGGGCGGAAGAGAATTTTCAAAGTTGCTTACATGGGTATAAAAATTTGCAAATGACTTGTTTATACTTGTAAACATTAAAATAATTTTGAAAATCAGAAATACAATTTAGCTTCATAGAAAATTGTTTTCTGAAATTTCGTGGCTATGGGTCCGCCCCTTCCCCGAACGGAAATCCTGGGCACGTCAGTGGAGTGTAGTGAGGAATTTATTCCAATGTATGCATTGTTTGCCAATTATTTTTCTACCTCAATATTCTCACGGCTTGATGGTACCACATGAGGGACTGGCGAAAAAAGGAAAAAAAATAAGGTAGTAATCACTCAGCGTACGATCGGTTTCCTGCCGCAACTGTGGGGTTACAGTTAAGGTGCTTTACGTCTTTGAAGTTAGTGTCAATACGCCCCATAATAGTGAAATTTTTCAGAGTTTCTCTATAACCGATACAATAAGATTGTTAATCGTGTATACCACTTGCATAGCTTCATATGCAAAAATTATTAGTGGAATCAAAACGTCTAAAATCCTGTTCAAGGATTTCGGCAAATTTTTCAAACAAACAATGCATGCAATTGAAATATTTTTCCAAATACTTAGCACTTCATAATGACACAGGTGCTGAAAAATCTAATCGTAATCGTGAAAATCGCTTTTAGCTCTGTTGTTAGCAAAACTCAGTGTGGCATTTACTGACACAAGAGCACTAGCGATCTTAGAAAAGGTAGGCATCCTACTGGGGTCAAATACAAGATAAGCGAATAGTGAAGAGAGAACAAATAGTTGATAAGTATATAAAACGCAAGATTTTCTGTCCTAGAAATGCAAAATGAGTATAGCTGCAGTTAATTTTTCGTGTGTTGCCATTACTGCTCATACTATCACAACATAAGTATTACAACCAATTTTATTACATAGCTTTCATTTTTTCGAAGCAGGCAAATTTGAATGCGTTTGTATAAGCACAATATTGCTGACTATGGGATTTACAACAGATGCTTTATCCCTTGATTACTAAATAGTAATCATTGTTTCCCACTAATGACGCATCTGCTACATACAATTATGATCCCATTGAAGTCGAGTCAGAGCCGAAACACACGGCTACGTTGATTCCAAATTTATGCACGATCTCCTGAATTTGGGAAAAAGTTAAAATAATTGAACCCGTGCTAGAGCGTGCCTCAGTTGTGCGAATGGACAGAAACTCCCAGCGAAACTCAAAGCAATTCTCTGCACTTTTTGGAAAGACATATTATTCAAATAGAAAGCTAACGTTCAGATTTGTTATGCAGCAAAAAAGGTCATATAAAATACAGTACTCGCCTAAAGCCAAATAAGAAGACGAGTGTAAGTGGAAGTGGAAAAGAGTGGAAAAGTGGAAAAGAATCAAGAATATACATTGCTGTCAACTACTCAAATGTAACAGCAAACTTCGTTTTTTTATATCATCATTTTATCAATGAGGAAAGGTTGATTTTGCATAGCGATGACTGCCAAGGTCTTCCGTATAAGTAAATATTTAGATTAGGGTTCTCTATAGCCTTTTTTGATTATTGACAACACAAGATTTTACATGCACATTTGAAAAATTTTTCTTCAAAGAGAGGATCCCATGAAGTATAAAAGGTTTCTGATATACTCAAAAAACATGTATAAACTGTAAACTGTAAAAACTCAAAGCAAGTGAACGCTGATTTCAGCCTTCAGAAAACCTGAACTAGAAATTACGAGAATGGACAATGGGAGACAAGAGTTTTTTTCCCGCTCATTCTTTAATGCTCCCATATTAGCGCTAGGGTAAACGCTGTATCTGATTCAATCAAGGAAGAACAGTTAGTTAATTCTAAGGTTCTTCTTCTCAAGTGTATTCTAATATGTATAACCTGTACAAATAGCTACGCTCTAGCTTCTCTCATGTTTGAGAGCTTTTCCCAACATCACCAGTTCTGGATCCTCGGTAGTATAGTGGTGAGTATCCGCGTCTGTCACATGCGAGACCCGGGTTCAATTCCCGGCCGGGGAGAATCTTTTGCGTTCGATACATTGACCTTGCCACCCCGTAGCTATAGTGGGAAAGGTTTCTGTTCTAGTAAGTAGAAATTTTGTCACGATAACCTAGTCCTGAAGAAAAATCGAATTTGAAAATCAGCAACCACTAGAAGAAGATTTTTCTCTTGAATTCAAATGGATCACTTTTGCCGCATCTGTCGATAATCGCATCCAAATCAATGATCATGACACTATAGTATCCTATTAAATTACTAAGGTGGGCCATTGAAAACGAACACGAACTTCCTGGCTTTCCGAAAATGGGCAATACCATGAAATCTCAGTTTAAGGAGTTTATTCGTCCAATGTACAGAGTTTCTATAAAATTTATTCGTCAATATATAACAGAACAAGCACACATTAACAACATAACAACAACAACAACGAAGTTAATCATAAGAAAAATTTTAATTAGAGACTCAGGCGACATGGGGACAATGTGAAAGTGCTAAAATTGTCCGCTTAAATTTAGCAAATTCTGAGCGAGAGTTCAAAGTCAAATTTATCGAGCATGAACGACCTAAGGCTGCCATTTGAGAAAAGGTTTATTCAGAACTATCGTTTCCATATAAGAAGTTCAAGGACTCACAATCAAGTTAACTGATACTGCCTTTCAGCCAAATCTAAGTAGTACTGCAGGGAGAATCAGAAAAAAGGCAAACTACAATGATTTTCATAAAGGGATGCCATTAACACCTTTTTAGAAAATTTCTGGGTAAAACACCCCCAGGTGGACGTCATGTGACCTCGTTTTTCAACCTTATACTAAAAGAAATACAAGTGAAGAAAATCTCATAGCATTTACAGTAAGATACTCATGCTACCTAAGACGCACATTTAATCATCGGATTACAATAATCACAATCCAGGCTCAACAATCAACAACGGCAGGATCTTGTCCTCAGCTCTTTGCAATTTCTTGAACTAGGAGCGTGGCCCCTTTGAAGGTATATTCTTTCAGTTGCTTCATATTAAGGGCCTCTTTCACCTTCTGTCTAACAATATCCGCTCCGCACTGAATCATTTTCAACAGCACATGACAACCCTAAAACAACCACGGTGTTACTTTGAACTAACGGGAATGAAGGTAACCGACTTTGTTGCAACAGATCCATGATCCCAACTCCTCTTTGGTCAGAGTGTTCACCAACTCAACTGAAAGCTGTTGATCCTCGGGCAAAGATTGGTCGCATCTAAACGACATAAAACCGAATGTCATAAAATTGAGTACAAAAAGGCTTTGTAACGGTCTTGTACTTTTCTTTCATTACCGATTTGCTAGATCCTTATCTCTCTTGATTTGCTGTTACACACCATTTCCAGAAAAAAAAATAAAAGTTGTATATATAGGAAAGGGAGCAATGTTGCTGTTTACAGAAACTATATTTATAAATGCATCTCTCAAGATTTAAGAGCTCGATTAGCTGTTCTCGCTCGTATCCCATCACCGTAGTGACATCTGAACTCAATCAGGCCTCCCAATCTACTGTAACACTAATGAACCAGTAATTAAAGGCGCTAGATTGTATTCGCGCGCTTAGAGACCGCATCGCGGTTTCCCGCTATTTGATGATTTTTGAATTGGCGTTACGATTCTTTATAGATTAGATTTGTAGACAATAATATTTTGAGATAATTTAGTACCAATGTTCCTTCCAGCGATAAAAAGTAACAATAACGTACCGCAATGTTGCCATCAACACAAAGTTCCCGGAAGTATGCTCTATCAAATGGAGACGTTCGCTGTCCATTGGGATGAACTCCTATAAAGACACAAAAAAAATCCTAAAATTGCTGAGATAAAGCTACAATTATTAGAAAAACACACCTGCTTAGCTAGTTGCGCTATGGCTTCATTACAATGCTTTCGCATCTCGAGTGGGACTTGCCGATCGAACAAATCGTATTCACCCAAAATAGCTACGCATTGAGGACAGCGGGAACAAAATGTAAAACTCACTTGTGGTCTCCAAGGATGCGGCAACAAATTTTGACCTATTGTGCTCAAATATGAGGTTTTCCATGTTAGCGGCAAGATAAGCGTAAAGACTTTCGCAGATATGGCGATAAATCTCAGCATATCGATCTTTCTTCTCTTTCTTGCTGAACGGATTTGCATCGCCCTGAACGGTACAAAAGTATTACACACAACATTCACACAAAAATCCTCTGCTTTAGAATACACTATTATCGCAAAAAAAAAGGTTACTGCAATCGCGAATCCTCAGACAAACCGAAACATCGATATGAAAGTACGATGTAAAACACAGAAGCATAGGTTCAAGGAAAATGGAACATTGTGAAACGAAAGTAATACGGAATGAAATAAAAAGCAAATGTACCTTTTTCAACAGCTCGATTTCGTCCCGGAGCATGCCGCGACCATCACGTGGATGAACAATATAATGCAAGACTTTCTCTCCCCAAGTATCCAAGGCTAATTTGTTTATCTCGTTGCTGAGCTCCTGCAACATTAGTTTACCCATCACTACTTTACTGAATTCCTGTGAAAGCAAAAAAGATAAAATACGTAATTTCTAGAATTGGTAAGTGATAAGCTATTTGAGAAATTATTAACAAGTAAGGGTGAACATCATCAACGACAGGTTTTTCTCAAAGAAACGAGATTCAACGAAGCGAGATATGACTGCAATACGAAAAGATCTACATAAGTTAGCGCAAAAAGTGAGAATGAATTTTACGCCTCACAATTTATGCCCTCAATTAATTATGGAGAATGAAAAGGACTCACACTAGTAATATACTTGTTCACGAGAACGGTGTCGTCAACACTATCGAAAATCGCCATGAGAACTCGATGCCCAGAATGCTCCATTGCGACTTTGACAGCCAGATCTTTGAAGTTCTTCACGATCAACTATAAAATCTTTTAAGAATGCTGTTCCGAGAACATGAAAAGATTATGCATGATCACTTACTTTTCTATCTTTCGCATTAGCGTTCCAGATACATTGCATGGCAACTATGGCACCATCTGGTGTATGCACGATTTCGGGAATCCTATCTTTGAGAGAGTCAATCAAATTTGTGCGCTGATCTGGATCGCAGTGGGTGATGTAGTCTCGCAAAAGCCGGTGACAAAGCGATAACCGAACAGTGGTTCTAAATGAAAAATATGATCAACTAAAGCCGTACGTATACATTTCAACTCGCTCACTTATCAACCAAAGTAAAGATTTGCTCCTCAAGATGCTGTATAATTAGCTTCTTCTTGTTTGGTTCCTCAGCTACGATCTCGTCAAGAGTTCGAGGTTTGTCAGACTAGAAAGATACACTTAGCCATGATAGAAAGATAAGGAATTGCTTTAGATAACCTGGAACAAGACGAACTCCTTCCCATAAAACTCGGAGACAATGTCAAACCTTTGCTGTGCGTTTGCATAGTCATTATATGCGCATTCCAAAACCTGCAACGATATAAAAAATAGCTGCTTACCTCGCGAGACGGTAGAAACTAATTGGTAGAAAACGTAGAATTACACACATTAGGCAAAAAGAACTAATGAAAATGCCTTTCAATTCAAGAAAGGATAAAATGAATTGTAAAACAGGAACGAAGACTATTCTAGTGAAAGAACCGTATGTCAAAAGAAAATACGAAAAATTCTCTAAGTGTTTGGTCAGACTTCACCTCATCAGCTGAAAATCTATCAAATGCAACATAGTGGCCAAAAGTAAAACAAAGGCGGAGTTGGGGGGCAAGGGCAAAAAGCGAGTTAAAAAATCATTAACTCAGTGACACTGTTCTAAAAATGGAAATCAGTGTGGTAAAAAAGAAGTGAATTATCATAAGAACTGATTTGAAACACGATGTGGCGGCAGCGAAGTCCACAACAATCCTGGATCAAATTTTCGCTCACCTCAGCAGCATACACGATTCGCATCAGTGATACGGCGTGCCCTCGGAAGGCTCTAATAATGGTAGTTCGTTGGTCCCTCGTACTGAAAAGATGGAAGTCAGCGCATATCCCAAGTATCGTTCGAGGCAGCGTCCAAGCAAATTTTCATTTCATTTCTTCCATCATTTTCAACATTCTTGTCATGAAATATCAGCTTAGTGCTTGCATATTTGTAAAACTTTCAATTGTCTTGTCGATTTGGCCGAGATAAACTGTGAATGGGAGTAGTAACACAGTCTTCAAAAGCTTGGCTGGTGGACATCGCCAGCGATCGAAAAACGACCTAAATCTCTCTGGCCGATAAAGCACCACACCTATTCCGCACTTCCCCAGAACCAAAATTTACCCTTTGTCTTTGAATAAACTCTGAAGCCAATTCATGCACAACGCTAGAATGACGGCGAATTCGGAGTTGATTACATATGTGGATGCTGCCAAGAACAATAAATTCTTACCCATATTTCAGCATTCGCAGAACAAAGAAGTGAGCATATTTGCTTTTGGTCATTCGCACGATTTCAGGAGTGAGCTCGTCAAACACTGGAAAATCATACTTATGCATGCCAAGAGAGATCATAAGCAAGGAATTTACGCGCTGTAGTTATTCCAGGCCTCTTCTGCGCTAATAAACACTCGATGACTCGACAAGTATCGTGCGGGTATATGAATTTGGCAGCATATCCCTGTAATATCTCATAGCAAATGAAATTTTAAGAACATCGACAAAACACCAACCTTGACCAAACCAAATAGTTTCGAGACACATTCTTCTTTCTCTTGTGATGTGGTTTTCTTACTAAAACGTTAACAGAACAATGTTAGCCGTTGAGGGAGGGGAATATATGAAGAAAATGCCATTATAGAAGAAGAAAGAAGCCAGACGCAAACGCCTACCTTCTAATCTTCTCCCATAACAGCTTGCACTCCATTGCTCGATCGGAATTTGGGTTTCTCTGAGCCTTCAAACACCCCATCAGTGGCAAAAATTCGCAATATGCAATGGCTTACCTTGAGTTGCTTGAGGAACGCTTTCCTTTGCTTCCTATCCATTGTCAACAACTGTTCTTTTATCTTTTTCGTAACCTAAATAAGATTTGCAATAAAGTGCGGTATGGAGTTTACAAAAACCAAAAAAGTGAAACGCAGTATGACCAATAAGAAAAACCAAGAAAAGAGAGAAAAGGTAAGTTAAAAGGAGACTGAGAGAAGACCTGTCATGTAAGAGTTGTTTGCAGGCTTGGCTTACCTGTATCTTTATTTTCTTTTTGGCCACTATAGGCTTTTCTTCAGCCTTCGTTTCCACATTTTCCACATCCATTTTATCGTCAGTTGCTGCCTTTTTGGGCGAAGGGGAACTGGCATTCGGTTTACTCGCCTATGAAGCGACTATAAGAGCAAAGCCAGATTAAAGCAGAATAGCCCTACCTTTTTCTTGATTTGTACTTTCGAATTTTTCGCGCGGAGAATACCTTTACCAGGAGAGGCAGATGACGGCTTTATGACTAGGTCTTTGACATTTTTATCGAATACCTTCACCTTCTCCATTCCGCTAAAGGACACCTAAAAACATTTAAAACATGGAAGACTATAAATCGAAGAGGATATTCGTTTCTAGAAGAAGTCTTTACTCCTTGCTTTTGGGAAGGAACTTACCCTTTTGCTTGCCTTCTTCTCGATAGATTGACCAGACAATGACGGGTTAACAGAAACGACGTCGTCGTCATTTTCTTGCTCCATTTCTTGCAGCTTTCTCAGCTCGGCTTTCACGCTGTCATGAAGTTGAGTTTTGAACTTCTGCTTTTCCTCGAGCTGCAAACACTGCACATTAGTTCGTCGCTTCGGTAAAATATGGTATTCATTGATAAGTTCGCGATTCAAAATTGAAAAAGAGAGAAAAGAACAATGAAAAGTGTTCAGGTAATCATCCTACCTTTCCTAATCGTTTCCTGTCGACTTGATTCAACTTCAATCCTTTGGCTTTCTTTTCCAAAAGGTTCTTCACCTTCTTCTTTCCCTTGAACTTCTTTTTCTTGTCTCGTTGGGGGCCCAGGAGAACCATTGCTGGACTAAAGTTACAAGATTAGGAAGCATTTTCTCTCAAATTTCATAAAGATAGAAAAATGAGAGAGAAACTCTAGAAGAAAAGCCAGGACTCCAGTTGCAAATATGAATCACCCTATTTCCTAAAACTTACAAAATCAAATTTGTGCGATATCTAAAAAGGCGATAAGGCGTGGCTAAACAGCGTCGTACGCAGTTGCATCACAGGCGACAAAACGGGAAATTTTGAATTCTCCTTTAGATTTGGATGCATTGAAAGTCTTCAAAGAGCAGAGTAATAATGATTTATATCTGCTCAGTAGAATTAGGAGATACTTTGCAAATCACCAAAGCACACTCCAAAAAAGTCCAATGCAGGGCGCGGCACGAGCTGGCTTCTCGCATAAAAACGACGTCCCCTGACTTTAACAAAACTTCACGGAGTCCCCTTTGACACGAAATCGGAAACTTCGACTAAAAAACCTGACCTATTTTGTTTTTTCGGACCGCAAAAACGATATCCCGTTTGCTTTTTGTCCCAAAACTATTATTCAGCTTGTAGCCACCTGTGCCCAGCTCTGATTCAGTGTTTATGAGCATAACTGTGGTATGGAGTAGTTGTTTGAATGCGCCTACGGTACAAATGTATTTGGCACAATCTTTCTTGTGTCTTATTGTTAGGGCACAAACAAAATTGGACTTATGGTCGATGCAGATTCAAGAGTGTAGTGATGGAAGGGTTCTTATTGTGAGAATCGCGCGCACGTGTACACAAAAAGTAAGAAGTTGTCCCTTACTCCAATCTAGATGTTGTACCTCCAAAAATGGGAAGAAACACAAGCCTAACTAGTAAGATATATAAGCGCATGTCATTTTTCCGAGTCCCGTAGTTTAGAACTCTCTAGCTGATGTGGTCCAACAATTTTCACCAGTGATCTGTTTTGATCTATCAGATCTGGTCACAGGTCAGGTTTGAAGGGTATGTCAAAAACCGTGATTTTCTAAAGCTGCTGTTCTCAGACTGATATATATCTCAATTTTAACGGTAAACGGTTAGGAATGGTTAGATCTCTAAAGGTTTAAAGATGGTCATGTAGGCTGCACAGTCCTGCTGTCATAAAATAAAGCTACAACATAAGTGTTGAAGGACAAAGGTCCGCGACCAACACCATTTTGGTATATTTCCTGTCTGCTTTCCACAAAGCAATCAAATGCGAGAGCGTTACTGACGTCTAAACAATACATAGCCGAAAGCTTGAATGCAATTTCTAATTTGTCGCTCAAATGGAGTTTCTCGTCAATGATAGACCGAAAGAATAAAACGAAAAGATCACGTTCTTCGACCGTCTCCGTCCTCAAAGAACGCATGTTCCCGCAGGCTGCTCGTAAATCCTCCTGGATGTCGTAAATGATCTGAGTTGCGGCCCCTTGCACGTACCTGGCCGCATTCTTGCTAATATGCTGTCTAATGTGGCCACTACATTCTGCTGTATTCCATTATTCCTATCCCTATATTTTCCTGTATTCAGCTACGATCAGATAATTCATTTTCCTCACTGTTCCAAAAGTCTGATCATTTTATATCCTTTGTCTAGTTTTCTGGTTGCTCATTATCGTATAAGAGTTAACAATCACTACATCTCCTATTACAGCTCATTATCAGAAATTCACTCAAAACTCCAAAATCTCGACTACAGATTGTATCATAGGCGACGATGATGGATTGTACAGGGGGGGGGGAAGAGGGGCGTTAGGCCCCGGTCATACTTCACGCGATTTCAATCGCCACGTGATTTGGCAATTTGCCAGATCTCTTGAAATCCAACGTTGGCAGGATACCTATGCATAGCGTGTACGATTTTTGTGAATTGATAGAATGTCCTACCTTCCGTACATTTCGAATGCCCTTAGAATGAGTTATACGCTGTTAGAGTACTGCCAAATCGCGTCGCGACTGAAATTGCGTGAAGTATGTCCGATGCCTTATGCTGATTAGTTATTGACAATGTTCGAGTTACAAGTGAAGCGGAACTCCGGCTCCACTTCATTTGTAGCTCGACTGTCGATAACCGCCCAATAAAAAGTTTCTCTTGCATTCTCTCTGTTTGCTTTGCAAATTCCACTGAACCACCGGAAGTTTACTTCGGGTAGTAATAAAATACCCAAGAGCCTCACGCCCACTACTCTAGTGTATTGGGATATAATGGGCGAGACTCTTGGGTATCTTACTCGAATTTAACTTAGGTTTGATGGTTCAGTGAATTTCGAGGCAAAAACAGACAGTGGGAGAGCGAGGGTTTATTGGGACGCTCAAAGATATGAGCACTCTTTACACTGTCGGGATGCAGCTAGTCACCACAGCTGTTCGAGAAGGAGGTTGGTCGATGATAGCCAATCTCCGGCCGCCGGCACTAGCCGGTAGCCTTCCCCTTCCCCTTTCCCCTGTCGGGACGCAGCTAGCTACAACAGCTGCTCGAGAAGGAGGTTGGCCGAAGACAGCCAACCTCTCTCAGTGACCTCCGGCCGCCGGCAGTAGCCGGTTGCCTTCCCTTCTCCTTTTCCCCCTTTTGTATATAACTATTTACTAGCTGGCTTACCCGGCTCCGCCGTATCCGGACCAAACTTGGCACACATACACTTCGGGCCCCGGCGGGTGTCACAGTCCACTTTTCGCTATCGATCGATGTCGATTTTACCGATTTTTATCGATTTTTTTGCAGAGTTCACCTACAGGGCTAGGAGTTGGCACAGGGGGGGAAGTGAGCATGGGGATTCCGAATACAACATTAGTTTTCAGGATCGTCCATTACTTTTATCGATTTTATCGATTTTTTTTGTAAAGTTTGACCTGCGGGGCTGGGAGTTTGCACAGGGGGGGTAATCGAGCATGCTGATTACGAACACAATATTAGTTTTCAGGATCGTCCATTACTTTTATCGATTTTATCGATTTTTTTTTGTAAAGTTTGACCTGCGGGGCTGGGAGTTTGCACAGGAGGGTAATCGAGCATGCAGATTACGAACACAATATTAGTTTTCAGGATCGTCCATTACTTTTTCGATTTTATCGATTTTTTGAAAATTTGAGCTAGGGGGCTGGGATTTGGCACAGGAGTATAATCGAGCATGCTGATCACCCCCCTTGGGGATGATCAGCATGCTCGATTACCCCCCTGTGCCAACTCCCAGCCCCCTAGCTCAAACTTTGCAAAAAAATCGATAAAATCGATAATAGTAATCGATAATCCCGAAAACCAATATTGTATTCGGAATCCCCATGCTCGATTACCCCCCCGTGCGAACTCCCAGCCCCGTAGCTCAAACTTTGCAAAAAAATCGATAAAATCGATAAAAGTAATCGATAATCCTGAAAAGCAATATTGTATTCGGAATCCCCATGCTCGATTACCCCCCTGTGCCAACTCCCAGCTCCGTAGCTCAAACTTTGCAAAAAATCGATAAAATCGATAAAAGTAATCGATAATCCTGAAAACCAATATTGTATTCGGAATCCCCATGCTCGATTACCCCCCTATGCCAACTCCCAGCCCCGTAGGTGAACTCAGCAAAAAAATCGATAAAATCGATAATAGTAATCGATAATCCTGAAAACCAATATTGTATTCGGAATCCCCATGCTCGATTACCCCCCTATGCCAACTCCCAGCCCCGTAGGTGAACTCAGCAAAAAAATCGATAAAATCGATAATAGTAATCGATAATCCCGAAAACCAATATTGTATTCGGAATCCCCATGCTCGATTACCCCCCCGTGCGAACTCCCAGCCCCGTAGCTCAAACTTTGCAAAAAAATCGATAAAATCGATAAAAGTAATCGATAATCCTGAAAAGCAATATTGTATTCGGAATCCCCATGCTCGATTACCCCCCTGTGCCAACTCCCAGCTCCGTAGCTCAAACTTTGCAAAAAATCGATAAAATCGATAAAAGTAATCGATAATCCTGAAAACCAATATTGTATTCGGAATCCCCATGCTCGATTACCCCCCCTATGCCAACTCCCAGCCCCGTAGGTGAACTCAGCAAAAAAATCGATAAAATCGATAATAGTAATCGATAATCCCGAAAACCAATATTGTATTCGGAATCCCCATGCTCGATTACCCCCCCGTGCGAACTCCCAGCCCCGTAGCTCAAACTTTGCAAAAAAATCGATAAAATCGATAAAAGTAATCGATAATCCTGAAAAGCAATATTGTATTCGGAATCCCCATGCTCGATTACCCCCCTGTGCCAACTCCCAGCTCCGTAGCTCAAACTTTGCAAAAAATCGATAAAATCGATAAAAGTAATCGATAATCCTGAAAACCAATATTGTATTCGGAATCCCCATGCTCGATTACCCCCCCTATGCCAACTCCCAGCCCCGTAGGTGAACTCAGCAAAAAAATCGATAAAAATCGATAAAATCGATATCGATCGATGACGAAAAGTAGCCTATGACACCCGCCGGGGCCCGTAGTGTATGTGTGCCAAGTTTGGTCCGGATCGGTTCAGAAATGGAATTTTCTATTCGGAACATACGTACAGACAGACATACATACAGACAGACAGACAGACAAACAGACATTCAGCTTTATATATAAGATAATAAATATTATAGTAAGACCTAGTAAGCCCGCTACACAACAGGTAAGGGAATAGCTAACCCTTATACCTGACATGGAAGTCCCGGGAAGATTTTTCTCCTTGTTTTGAGCAATAGTCAAATTTTTTTCAAAAAGAATTTATCCACCTCTCGACATCTATATCGACAGCAACTTCCACCCAAGTCACAACGAACGAATGAGTGAGTGTTTCTTTCTATATTTTATAATAGAATGACAACTAATAGCAAGAAAATTTCTTTCTTTCCCTTGAAGAAAAAAGCTAATATTTCAGAGAAAAAGGTACCGAAAAAAGTTAGCAAATTTAATAATGGTCTTTCATTGCATATTTCCAGAGATACGTCTAGTAGTCCAGCGAGCAGTTCCATTTGCCCCCAAAAAAATTTTTTTTCGAGTGTAATGCATTATTTAGCTCCGTTTACCGATAAGCGCAAGTAATTCAGCAGTCGTGCGTGGCCACAATCGTTTGCTAATCAGCTATGCGTAAAACGTAACCAACTGAGCAATTTGCAATTGTAAATGTAAAATACATTTAAAAAATTTTTTTTAAGTAGCTATGGTAGTCATAATCACGCCAAATTTTTGTAGCTTCAAAATTCCTGTGCAGATCTGAAATCAACATGGCAAAAAAATCCTTTTTTGCGTTTTTTAGTCAATTTGGACACAATTGAACTTTTTGCGCCAGTTTATTTTCCTTTTAGGATTTTTCCACAAAACGTTTCGGTAATTTTTAGGCTACTGCAAATTTATTGCATTTTTGATTGCAAGCGCATTTTCTCTCTATTTCTGGGCATGGACCTGCTCGCAATCGTAGCTACAATACAAAATCTGCAGTACGGAAAGATAGCATCTGCTGACGTGCCATATACCCGGTTATTACACATAGCCTAGAGCTCTAAATCCTTTATCCCAATCTGTTCCAGCAACTGTCTGCGCGCATTCAAAATAGCAATAAATCTGGTGACAATTAGAAGCTAGCAACTGTTGACCTTAGGGCAGTGACAAATATCGCTATGCGCCTGTTTAATGTAGATGACCCCTACACATCTGATTTACGGCGCATCCTGCTGTCTACCGATGCCGAGAAATTGTGCATCGACAGCGACAGCCGCGATCACCATCTCATTCATCGGCAAGCTTGACTAGAGGCCTTACATCGCGATAAGGCGTAATTAGCAGGTTCAAAATTTTGGCTGAATAAAAAAAACACTTTTCATTAGGAAAAAAAACTTTCATTGAGTTGACAGAACATGATGGTAAGTAAATGAGATTGGAGAGCGTAAATGTTGCTTGAATTAGTTAAAAGCACGACTGCAAACATTTTCGATTCAAAGGAAGTCGCTCATCTGCTTGAAAAGCGATTTTATAGACACGAAATCTGCTGCGTTAGAGTTAAATTATTCTCTAGTAGGGATACGAGTTCAATGGAATTTAGGATTTTTGAATGCTCACATTTTTGGAACATCGCTGTCAGAGCATGTTTCATTACACCTTCCCGTTCTAGGGCCTCTTATATTGCCTAACTATGCAATTGTGTGCAAGAAAAAAAAGATTAACTCAAGGTTCGTGCGCTCACATAAGACTGAGATGCTCCATGGTGAACAGTAAACATCAATTTTTAAGGTGAAAGACGGAAATGCTTAATTCAAACTTCTCAATCAGGAAATTTTTGAAAAAACATGCTTTTAACATTTTTCTTGGTTTTTTTTCTGTAATGCCACTCAGTCTTACCCAACCTAATCAAAACTAAAAAGTAGATTGAGGATTTTGTATACTGAGTGATTTTGAAAAAAAAAGTTACCGAAAAAAATTAGTTTGGAGACAGAAATTGACTTCGTCTCACTAGCTTAAAAAAATAATTTCTCATGCCTATCCACAATTCTAGATCTTGATACTACTTTTCTGTTGTCAACTGACTATCCACGGAAGGTGCAGGTAAGTTCAGATACCAAAAAAATTTGTATGCAATCATGGTTTTTTTTCTATTTTTCAACAAACCTTTATCTACTTTCCCGCCAGTTTAAAATCATTTTCGAAAATATTATGAACAAAATTCTAATATAACTTCAGTCATTACAATTTGCAAGCCAATTAAAATAAAGCACAAATCACCAAACGTAATCTTGTTATTCAAAAAAAAATTTCTTTATTTGTGAGTCAGTTCTGATGTTATTACACTGCAGAAGATTAAGTCAAAAGTCTTACTCTCACTTCCGATAGTAACGAAAAAAACTGTTTCGTATCATGGTCCAATTTTGATAGGCCTTTTAGAATTTGCTAAACTGAATTTTCTTCCACGAATTGTGCGTTTCCTCTCGTCGATGATTTTTCTTAGATTTTCTTGTTCCTGACAGAAGTGCATTTCCCTTCTTTAGTTTCAAATATAAGGCTTTCGAGGATGAAGTCCCTACTGCACGGCCCGCTTGGAAAACCAGCAATTAGCAATAATTTGCCAAACTGAATTGTTCGTGTTTGCGATAAAGCGCTATGTCTTAACCTAAAATGTCATTAGACTGTTCATTCCTTAAGCTTTTTTTTGATGCACATCTCAGTTGTTTAGTGAAGCAACATCTAAATTTTGAAAAAAAACAATATACAAATGATAGTATAAATTGAAAAAAAAGTTCTGCGAACAGTCCCAAAGGTCGACTGAAATGAATTTTTCCCAAATCTAAAAAAAAATAAATAAAAAATACCGAGATCCGAGACCCGAGATCCGAGAGCCATGATTTTCCTTTTTCAGATCTTTTCTTGTAAACGTGTTTTATTTTTCCGAAACCGGAATTTTTTTTAAACATTAAGTAATTCCCATAGTTTTTTTTTCTCTTTTCTTTTTCTTCCCTCTTCTATTTTCCAACGCTAATTTGTTTTCAAACCGTAACTCTTTCCCCTCTTTTACACTCTTTTCTATAATTAGCAATTTTCCGAGATCCGAGACCCGAGACCCGAGACCCGAGAACCGAGATCCGAGATCCGAGAATTTTTTTTGAACAAAAAAGGTAATTTCCTATCTGACTATGGACTTGTTCGCATTAGCTAGCTCAAAATAAAATCTAAGGTATACCTACGCCCTACAAAATTATTTATTTTTGTTAGACGCTCTCGTAAATCAAGTCGCTATTACATCTAGTGCGGAATGTTCCTCCAAAATAATTTAAAACGCGCCTGTTCAAGGTAGATGTCAGCAAATCCATGCCTGCCAAATTTCGTACTTGCTTTGTTACCCGAGATGGCGATTTAGGCTTATACGGAGGTCCCATAACCCATAGAATCAATTTCGTCCCTCATGCTAAAGTTCCAAAACAGAGACCATATCGTGTCCCACTGGAAAAGCGAAACGAAATTAAGCGTCAGATTGATGAAATGTTACGTACTCGTATCATTGAACCAAGCACTAGTAAGTTCGCTTCTCCCATAGTTCTTGTAAAGAAAGGATCCAATAAGGACCAGTGGCGTTTTACTGTTGACTATCGCCAAATCAATGCTATCACAGAAACTGAGACCTATTGCATACCACATATGCAGGATATTTTAGATCTTGCTAGCGGTAAAGAAATTTACAGTGTCCTTGATTTCAAAAGCGGATTTTTTCAAATTCCTTTAGAGAAAAAGCACAAGGAACGCACTGCATTTTTTTCTTTCATAGGCTTATTTCAATTTACTGTCATGGCGCAAGGATTAAAAGGTGCACCAGGAATTTTCAACGAGTCGCAAATTCTTTAATAAGGAAATTGAAAGCTTGTTGTTTTGCATATATTGATGACATCATAGTTGCTAGTTCCAATGTACCCGAACATTTTTGCGATTTGGAAGAACTTTTCACGCGCATACGAAACTTTAAGATGAAACTAACTCTTGAAAAGTGCTCATTTTTTCAATCTGAAGTGCAGTATCTGGGTGTACTAATAAGTAAAAATGGTACCCGCCTTAATCCCAGAAAGGTAGATAGCATACGAAAAATCCCGCGCCCTGCGGACACCAAAGCGCTTAAATCATTTCTAGGCGCCGCATCTTACTTTCGAAGATTCATTCTCCGTTTTGCTATCACAGCGAATCCCTTGAATAACCTTCTCATAAAAGATGCAGCGTTTAACTGGAAGGAGGATTGAAAAAGCATTCCAAGCACTAAAACAAGCTTTAGTAGAAGCGCATGTTTTAGTACCTCCCATGTTAGGGAACCCCTATATCATCCACACCGATGCATCAACCATCGGTCTCGGCGCATGCCTCTTACAAGTTAATCCGGAAACTAGTAATGAGGACCCCATTGCATATTGCAGCCGCCCCTTAACAAAACACGAGAGGAATTATGCGATCATAGAGTTAGAAGCCCTGGCAATAGTTTTTGCCTTAAAACACTTTTATCCTTATGTCGCGAATAGTTCGATTACCTTGATAACTGACCACGCACCACCAAAATCTTTAATGCATAGGTCAGATCTCGTGGATCGTCTCGCTAAGTATCAAATAACTATACAAGCGTACGATATCAAGATTGAGTACCATGCTGGAAAGCACAACACTCTATGCGATTTTCTAAGTCGCTACCCGATTGTGAGTACAAATTCAGTGCAGATAAATACATTGCCTACACTAGACCAAATTCAGCAGTCTCAGAAGAATTCCATTTATGGAAACCTTATCAAATTTTTGAAAGGCGAATTAGATAGCCCACCGCCAAAATTTTCTGACACGTTGGGCAGATATTCCTTTTATAATGACTGTCTTTACTACGCTTTTTATAATACATCTCGATTGGTTATTCCTGATAGTATACTTCAAGATAAAATTATTGAAATTTTCCACACCAATCCATTTTTAGGCTCACATTTAGGCGTACGAAAAACTATGAAAGCCATTTCAGCTAAATATTTTTGGGATAAGTTAAAGAATAAAGTCGCCAAATTTATACGAAAATGCCCCACATGCCAGAAAATAAAAACACCATCCGGTAATATCATTCGAGAGGAATTGGGTTCATTCCCAATCCCTCAAAGACCTTTTGAACGATTGCATACAGATATAATTGGCCCGTTACCGCAATGTATCGATGGTAACAAATTTATTTCGATTACCGTTTGTGCCTTTAGTAAGCTGATAATCTGTACTCCAATCCCCACAGACAACAGAATTTGTTGTCAAGGCTTTGATAAACGATTCATAGCCAAACACGGAATACCTAACGAACTAGTGTCCGATCGTGGTTCAAATTACACTAGTGAAATGTTTGTGTAAATGAACCGCATATTGGGCATTTCCAACAATTTTACCACTAGTTACAACCACAAAGCGAACGGCCAGCTCGAAAGGATGGTTAAGGTAATAACAGACTCCCTAACGGCTTACTGCGCAGAAGTCAAGGAACTCTGGTCTGATTACCTAAGCCGATCGTCTTCGCCTATAACACTAGTATCAATGACACCACAGGTTATAGTCCGTACTTTGTTGCGTATGGTCGTCACCCGATTACCTGGTGCGACATAGTCCATCAGTTACCCTCGAGGATATCCTACGCAACTGATAGTTTCACGGACCAGCTGACCACTGCACTGCAAACCACAATTATGGAAGTTGACAACCAGATCGCCAGCAAAACAGCGACGTATAAGTCAGGTTATGATTTCCATAATAAAGTTTTTTCCAAGGAAATTTCCACTGGAGATTTAGTATTACTAAGAGACGACACTATTCGTTCAAAATTCACATACCAGTGGAAAGGCCCTTTTATGGTTGTGCAAGTCGATCGTCCGAATGTCACTATCTCTAATTTGATTGGACCTACTAAAACTCAATGTGTCCATATGAATAGACTTAAAATCTATTCTCATAGTTCAACATTGGCTAGAGTTTCCCCCCAAAAAACTCACTATATCACATAAGCCACCGGAAACTCCAGAAAATGTTGAACAAACTCAGTTTGCCAAACGACCTCGTTTGCAACTGAAGAAAACATTTACAGCGGATCCAAACATCGATTCCGAAAGAGAGGATGAATAATTGCTCGCTAAATTTTTATATACATTCGATATTTTGCAATGAGCAGTTATTTATTCTCTAAGGTTAGTTTGTTTCCCCTATTTTTGCTGCACCGTCGCGTATTTACGTACCTTAAAATTTTCTTTGAACAGGCAATTCAAAGAAATCTTTCGCACTAAGCAGCTCAACATCAAAAACCTTTTTGTACCAAACAAATTTTGCCCTTATGTTGAATGGAAAAAAGTGTGCAGTGCCCAATTTAACATATGAACTCGATACGCCTCCGTTTTACATGCAATTATTCACAGAAAATGTTACTGTGAACAAAATTTTGTAATTTGGTAAAATTACTATTGAATTATGTTTTATAATTGCCTAGAAATTACTGTTAAAATTTTTCTGCCTATATGTATCATGAATTTATCATTAATTTACCATTATTATCACCGTAAAATAATTCGTTGTCAACCAGTCTTATACCTTCTACTTTGTATGTTCACGAATTTTGTAGTACACTTTCTGCTGTAAACTCCACCCCAAATGTTAAATCATTTGCCCCTCTGATATATCAATTGGTCCATCTCCATTTCCTACAACTCCACTCCAAGTCCTTCCCAACATCATGTCGGAAACCTCATTCACGTCAACTGCATCTCTCTGCAGTCCCTCCCCCGCTCCTCAGCTACCTTCAAGCTCGAGGACGATCTTACTCAAAGCCATGGGATATTCTAGCTGTACGTCCTCGCCGTATATCACGTGTGAATTCCAACACACGTTACTCGGAAGAACTTCTGCCATATCTCGACATAACACCACTTCAATTGTATGTTCTCGCCGTAAATTACGTGCAAACTTCAACGCACGTCACTCGGAAGAACATCCACCACATCAACGCCAACCACTACAACGTCTCGAAACCTCAGCCATGCCACAAGCTCGAGGACGAGCTTCCTGAAGGAATGGAGATGTCGGGACGCAGCTAGCTACAACAGCTGCTCGAGAAGGAGGTTGGCCGAAGACAGCCAACCTCTGGCAGTGACCTCCGGCCGCCGGCAGTAGCCGGTTGCCTTCCCTTCCCCTTTTCCCCCTTTTGTATATAACTATTTATGATAAATATTATAGTAAGACCTAGTAAGCCCGCTACACAACAGGTAAGGGAATAGCTAATCCTTATACCTGACACCCCCTTTTGTATATAACTATTTATGATAAACCATTATAGTAAGACTTATGTAAACCCGCTACACATCAGGTAAGGGTGTCATGAACCCTTATTCCTGACATGGATGTCCCGGGAAGATTTTTATTGACCACTAATCAACAATTTCGTTGAAAATTCCCCCCCCCCCCCCTCCCTCCCTTCCCCCACCATATCGACAACACCGCCACCCAAAGGGACACAACGAACGAATGAGTGAATCATTTTCAACTTTTTTGATAGTAACTATAACCAACTGATAGTTTGCAGTGATGTTAAACAAAACAACCTTTTATAGAAGAGAATCTAAAATCTCAGAAAAAAAGGTACCGAAAAAATATATCATCTCTTTGATTGAATTATCCAAGAATAAAATGTGATAGTCCGCGCGAGCAGTCCCAGGTTTTCCCAGGTCCCTAAATCAATCAAATAAAATACGTAATTAGCTCGTTCAACTTAATTTCGAATAAAATGCATTTTTTTCACCGTTTAGGCGTATTATGATCGCCCTTAGTCGTTTAGCTAGGTTCTTAACACACATTCTAGCAGCATTCTCCACAAAAAATTACCAGTGAAAATGTGCAATGGTGTGCAAAACGTAGGTAATGCCTCGCGAGCGTGAATTACCTATTACACGCCGTCGGGACACAGCTGAGCACCGCCTGTTCTCCTCCCGTGGGCTGGCCAAGGAATTCAGATAAGAGCCAGTGCTCCTGTACGACCGCGCCCCGTAAGGCTGCTCCAGCAGTCTTTTCCCCCTTCTCCCTTTTTGTAATATATTTAAACAATAAACATTTTTATGACAACTAGTTTGTACTACCGCTACACATCAGGAAAAGGACTCGCAAACCTTTAACTGATATGGAGGTCCCGGGGAGATATTTTTTTGATATGCTAAGATCAAATTTGATTCTAATGAACTTTTGATAAGGGATTTGAAAGTTGTATTACCCCCCCCCCCTTCTACAACCCTCCGATCGTATGGAAGGAGTCGCTCACCAACGGATGAGAGAGAGTGTGTGAGTTTTATACTATTCTATTTACATATACACCAACAATTATACGGATATCTAACCATTCCAGAAAATAAAATAAAAAATATACAGTCCTGCGAACAGTTCCATTATGTCAATTTTCGCTCAGTAAATTTCCGTGATCCGTGAATATCTAGATAAAATACCGCGAGCCGTGAGTCCGTGAATGCCGTGATTTTTTGGAAAAAAAATTTATCCGTGACTTTTTTGGTAAAAATACATGTCGTGATTCCGTGATCCGTGAGCCGTGATCCTTGAATATCTAGATAAAATACCGCGAGCCGTGATTTATTTTTTTGCAACCGTGATCCGTGATCTTCAATTAATTTTTTTCTTTTTCTTTAGTAAGACAATGGACTTGTTCGCGCTCGCTAGTAATTTCGATCCAGTTAACTACTGGCCCATGTACAGAAAGCCTCTGATGGGAAAAGTCGATAATTAGAGTCGCTATGATATAGCGCAAATGCTTTGACCTCCTAGGCAATTACAACAAACCAGTGCAACTGTCCAAGCGTGTTGACCTTTATCAGTGATAAAGTAGCGCAGCAGCCCGCCCGTGATGTAAGCATTTGACCTCGCCGCAGACTAATAATGCGCGCTACGGTCTAGCAAATACATCAGTTGCGCATACTGACCTTTTGATTTTGATAGGCGTTTAGCAACAACAATTGTGACAGTTATCTGTCACTGCGTCTGCTCTTACGTAATTTAGTTTAATACACTATTTACTTAGGACGCATTACTATCAAATAACTAAACATGGCAAGATTGAAAAAATATTACGGACACGTCTAATCGAACCTAGCACTAGCAAGTTCGCTTCTCCTATAGTTCTTGTGAAAAAAGGATCTAATAAAGATCAATGGCGTTTTACCGTTGACTACCGCCAAATTAATGTCATAACCAAAACTGAGACTTGCTGCATACCACATATGCAAGACACTTGGGATCTTGCCAGTGGAAAAGAATCTACAGTGTCCTTGATTTCAAAAGTGGTTTTTTCTAAATACCACTAGA